AATTTAGGGGAAGCTTGAAGTGTGCTAGCAGAAGACAAGATTGTTAGGGGACACACTTACCTGTTCCGCAAGCACAGTGAGCACAGCACCAAACTGCCATAGGCTTCAGTGAACTTCTGCAGAGCTCTCAGTCCTGTCACTGGCTCTGTGAACTTTTGTCTCGCTTCTGCTGCTGAAAAGAGCTTTTCAGCAATCTGCTCTGGGAAACCAATCAACGAGTCAATGTGATCTACATTGTCAGAAATGTAACCCAGCACGAGGCTGAAGAGGGACTTGGCCGAGTAGCGGAGGTTCCCCTCCTTGGTGTACGTGAAGATGAAATGATCAGTCCTCTGCCTCCTTGCCCTATCATCCTCCCTGTTCATGCACAGCTCCACTGAAAAAGTTCTGGAAAACAGACTAAAAGGTCTTGCTTTGGGAGTGACATTCTGTACGCCGCCTGCACCCCGATTTACCACATGCAGCTTCCCATTTTCACGCACGTATATTGGCCCAGTATCCAAATGGCTTTCTGAGTGGAGACAGTACGACATTCCCCTCGACCAGCTCTGCAAAAGCAAATCACAGACAGGTGAACAACAGCCACAGAGGAAAACATGACCCAGGGAAGCCCCTAAAGCTGGCAGTTCCCCTTAGAGCCCTGAGCATGGCCACGTAGCAAGGAGGGCAGGCTGTGTGGAGCAGGGCTGTGAGCTGCCTGCCACACACCCCATCCGAGTGGGAACCGGCCCCCGGGCTGGCTGAGAGGCCCGGGATGGATCCCAGGTCCGGGATGGAGATGGGGCAGTGGGAGAGGGGCTGGGGTTGAGTGGGAAGTGCCCCCACAACCAGGCCTGGCTCTGCTGCAGGCAGGAGCGGGGGGAGGAGGAGGAAGAGGAGGGCACATGTCTGACTGCAGCTGGGCAATGGAGCCTGCTGGAAGCTCCCTCCCTGGCAGGGTGGGAATCTCCCGGTGCCCCTTCCCCAGCCGGTGCCGGGGGGCTCTGGCTGGTGAGCAGGGTCCTGGCAGGGGGCAGGAGAGCCCGGAACTGCCATGGCGAGGGGCAGGGCAGGGACGGGATCCTCTCAGCTCCCGGCCTGCGGGGCTGGCGATCGGGTCCTGCGGGGCGGGAGGGGACCGGGCCCTGCCCGAGGGGGGCCGGGGGTACCGGAAAGGATGGGGAGGCGGGTGCGAAGGGATGGAGTCCAACCCGGAGAGGGGTTGGGGCTACGCTGGGAAAGGTCTGTGAAGGGATCGGGTTGTGCCCGGGGCTGAGCGCGCCGTGAGCGGGCACAGCCCCGAGGGGCGTCAGGGGAAGGGGCATGAGGGGAAGGGCACAAGGGGAGGGGGCACAGGGCGAAGGGTCCCCGCCCGGGCAGGGAGGCCAGAATCCCGCTCGTTCCCCGATCCCCCCTCATCCCACCTACCTGCCCCGGGAGGGGCCGCGCCGTCAGCCGGGCCGGGGCTCGGAGCTCCCGCCGCCCGTCCCGCAGCGCCCGCGGGCGGCGGGCGGCGGGCGGGGCCGCGCGGGGGGCGGGCGGCGGGCGGGGCGGAGCGGGGCACGGCGGGAGCGGCGGGTCCCGCCCGGCCTCCCCCGCCCTGCCAGGGGCGATCCCGGCTTCCCGCAGCGGGAGCGGCCGCAGGCGGGGAGCTGCCGCCGTTGCCCGGGAGCGGCAGCCCCGCGGCCCGCGATGAGAGGCACCGACTGGTGCCGGAGCTCGGCGGGGGCCGCCCTGGTCCTGGCCACGTCCAGCGATGCCGAGCACCCCGCCGAGAGCGTGGCGGACGGGTGAGGGCCGGGCGGGGGCGCGGGCGGCGGGAGCGGCTCCTCCCGCACGGAGCCCGCTGGGGCTGGCCCGGGCTCGGCCCTTCGCCCTCACGCTGGGGTCGCCACTGGGAGGATGGAACGGCTCGGGACCCGCCGCCATTGCGCGCTCCTGTGGGGCCGCCCGGGTACGGAGCCTGCCCGGCGAGGTGGGAATGCCGCCAGAGAGCTGCCCCTCCTTATACAGGGCGCTGCTGACAGTACCCCAAATAAAAATGCCTCCCCCGTCCCTTTCCCCCTCTTCCCCCTCCTCCTTTTCATCCCTCTCCTTCCCTTCCTCACTGTCCCCCTGTTTTTCTACCCTTCCTTTTCCACCTCCCCCTTCCTTTCCCCTCTATATTTTTCTGTGATAAATTTCATTCAAGATGGTTATAGATGGAAAGCTGCGGCTGAGTGTTTTGTCCTGTTCTCTCTGCAGAAGTTCCAAAACATTTTGGACGACGACAGGCATGTTCCCACAGGAACTGATTATTGGTTTTCCCAAATGTGTAAAAATCAGCAAAGTTGCCATCCAGTGTTATTTGGGTAAGACTTTGTGTCTTGCAGTAGGTAATATGTGCTATGTTAAAATTGTGTCTGTGCCTTAACACTTTTAAGAGATTCATAAACATTTAACTTCACCTAAAGGTTTAATTTTGCATAACTATTCATTTTCACAAAGCAATCATCCTTCATATCCACAATCCCCATAGCTTAGAGAAAAAATAAATTAGTTAATGCTCTGAAAGTGTTTTGTGGTTGTAAAGTGATGGAATAAATATCAGTATCAATAAAGAATCAGAACTTGTGTTAATATTTTGAATTGATATATATTTTAGTGCGGACCTTAAGGATTGAAAGAAGCACATCTAAAGACCCTGTTGGTTTTGAACAGTGTGTTGAAAAAGGTAAGACTGAGTTTGTGGGGTTTTGTGGGAGCAATGTTGGTGTTTTTCAGCAAATCCCTGTAACCCCTCATCTACTTATTGAGTAAAGTGTGGGGTGATGATTGTTTTATTAGACTTTAATGCAGCAGTCACGTTTGAGTGAATTTTGTTAACACTGCTGGTCTCTGCAGCAGTTTGGAGAGCAAAATGCTGTATAAGGGCTAAAAGCACTACTTGTGCACTTTATGTTCCAAAAATTAAAAACAGGCTTACATAGTATAATAGAGTGCCATTTCCTGCATTGTTTGGCTTGGGGATTGGCTTTTTTTAGTGCCTCTTGGGTGACTTTTTTTAACACTGTAATGAGTGGGATATATACACACACACACACTGGGATATTGCAAAAAAGTATTCTCTGAAATCACCTGTAAAAATAAAAAAGAACATTGTCTATATGCAGTGTAAATTCATTGTCCTTAAACTCACTTGAACTCTACTCTGAGTCCAGTGAAAACTTCACTACATTGCACATTATTCTTCATTATTTACCTTAAAATATATTTTCTAGATTTGCAGCACAGAGAAGGGCAGCTCCAAATGGAAGAATTTCCAGTGAGTATTTACAGTGCACATCAGTAGTGTTCATGAAATGGCATGTCTGGACTAAGTGGGGAGAAACCATAAAAAAAACAAACATGTATTTATTTACAATTATTGCTCAGTTTGTGTTAAAGAGAAGAATTTGTAGATTTTGGTGTGAAATTGCACTTCCCAGCTGCTCCTCTGTAGATTGTGCTGTGAAATTGCACCTGCCTAGTGCTCCTAACGAGGTGTAAGGGCCCTTTCCAGAAGTGTGGCAATCCTCCCTCCTTCACTTGCTGCCTTTAAGGCTGCAGAATTCAGGAGGTGATGGGATTTTTTTGAGTTGCAGGTCAAATAACTCAATTTATGTGCAGTTCAAAAAACAGACACTGAAAGATCCAGATCCTTGTGGTTTAACAAACTTCTGCAAATGTGGTTGGGGAGTTTTGTTACTACAGAGAATGCAATAACATTATTTTTATTCCTCCTGCAGCTTCCTGAGTTCCAAGCCACTTACTTGCGTTTCATCATCAAATCTGCCTTTGATCATTTTGTGTCAGTGCACCGGGTGATGGCAGAGGGCACAGCAGAGAACACTTGAGCCCTGCTTAAATTTGGGCCTCCACTTTTATTTTTTTATGAGGAAGTTACATTTTGATAGCTGCACTGCAGAGAATGTTTATTATTAGCACCCTGTATTAAAGTGGTTTTTGAAGGTATGGATGTGGTATGTATTCCCTGCTGGTTTAATGTATGGAATAGAATAGGAGAATATGGAATCATTTAGGTTGGAAAAGACTTTTAGGATGATCAAGTCCAACCACAACACAGTGCAGTTGTTAATTGTAGTAACAGCTTTTTCATTCTGTAACCTAAACTGTCAGCCTAGAACACCTGAACATAACTGAGTCCATTTAAGGTAGTATATTTATATCAGGCTTACATAATACATCAATTAAAACTCAATTTCCTATAAAATGTTTCCCTTGCACTCTGAATTAAATAGAAAAAAAAAGTGTGAGCTACTTAAGTGGGATGTATTACTTCCTACTGTTGAACAAGTCCTTCAAAAGTCCTTAAATTGGTACATTTCTGATCAACTCAAACTCAGAGATTATTAGAATTAATATAAATATCTGCTAATGCTTAGAAATAACCTGGGGGAGAGAGGCAGGGCAGGAAGGGAAATAATCTGAAGTCAAATGAAGTGTTTTGATACTTTTAATAATTGTAGACCAACCCCTTGTTTCTATAAATATTTTCTAGAATCAGGTCACAGCCGCCAGTGCTTTAAGCTGGGACCATCATAACAAATATTCATGGAAACAGATGTTGACAGAGATTGTCTTGCTCAGAAGCCTCCTGAAGTCACTGAAAGGGAACATTTTATATACACAAGCTCAATGTATATAGTAATGTGAAATAGTTGTTTTGCATGCTAGTGGACTCTTGCAAATGTCACTACCCTGAAATTCATCCTGCAGGATATTCCTTACAAGTGTAAATGTTGGTATCCAGAGCTCAATGGACCCAGCTCCCACATTACTGAGTGTAGTATAAAAGTAGTAAGTTACTTCAGAACAGAAGTTGGTGTGGTAGGGATGACACCTGAAAACTTCTAGACCTCATTCCAGATGCTCCTTGCATATCCATTGCATATGCAACATTGTTCTTTTCTTCTTCTCTCTATGGCTGTTCTTAAATTCTATTTTTGTTCCTTAGACTGAGGTCTGTGACAAATTATTTTTGAACTTCTTTATCCAAATAGTTTTTGCTTTGAAGTCCTCTTCTTTTTCTATTTCAGTTTTTCCAGGATGGCACGTATTTCCTGGGGGTGGTAATTCCAAGGCCCCACTCCTCCCTGCAAAGGCAATAAAATGACACAGTGATGCTCAAGCAGGCAGAGCAGAAATCCTTCAGAGCACAGCAGCTGCACCAGAACTGTGGGCAGGTGTGCCTTGGGCTCCCTTTCCCCTGGAGCCATCCCTGGGAGATGGTTACACACTGGTTACACCCTGCTGTGTCTCTGCGTCTGGATCCTGGAGGTGGGAAGTGTTCCTGGATTTCACAGCTTAGATGTACCTCAGGTTACTAGTGAGCCAAAAGATAAATATTTGAGCAAGACTGAGGTGTACATCAAATATGTACATTATAAAGGCCCAGACTGGTTTTGCTGCATTTTCATTTCTCTCCACATTTACAGTGCATTGTGAAATGTTTTGCTCTCAAACAGAACAAAATACTGACTGTTACATGTAAAGCAGTCTCAAGTCACCTTGAAATTTAAAATTCTCTGTACACTGTGCTGATTATTGGTGCTGATATTTTTTACCTTGTAGATGACCTTCCCTCCCTGCAGCATGTAGAGTCGCTCTGGCAGCGCAGCGTACTTTGAGCTGCTCAGGTTCTCCATTGTGTCCAAAACCACTGGACACAGAGGGTGATTTTTCTGAAGAAGTTGTGCTGCAATTTTTCGATCTTCAAGGCTTCTGTGATTTTTAATAATGACATTGTTTTTAAAAGCCCATCCATCTAAAACAAATGAGGAAGGGATTTAGCAGTGAAGGTTTTGAATAGGTGCAAAGCTGGACATGTACTGTGTGTCATACCCCAAAACTGGGTTAAAAGAATCTTACAGTTTATTCCTAACATCAAAACTTGCCATGAAATGAAACCCCCCCTCAAATTATGGCACCACTAGAGTTTTCCAATAAGTGGTCCCAAGATCTGTTTTTTTCCCCCTCATCAAACTGTATTTTCTTGCCCTGGATTCAGAAATATTTGATGCATTTTAGCTGAAATTTTCCCACATAGATCTACCCTAGAAAGACACCAGGTGGGGAACATGTATTGGTTAAGGTTTGTCAGTGTTGTTCATTTTGCTTGATTGTACTCATAAAGCCTATAAACCAAAATTACAGGTCCGTGAGAAGTGAAATGTGAGCCAGGCCACACCTTTGTTCATCAGAACTATCCAAGCAAACACTTGCACAAAACTCTTCCCAGTAAAGCAGAAACTAGTGAAAGAGTTTGATGACTGACTTAGTCATTATCTGATTCTCAGTTGCTGAAAATGACATATTGCTAGAAAACTGTAAATGTTTGGTTTTAGAAAAACATTTAATCCTGGGATAAAAGCAGTGCCAATGTGTTACTTAGAATCCAGTGCAGATAAACAAGTGTGGTTTGTTTGCTTGCTAAATTTTTCAAATTGGAGTCTGCATCCTCTTCTTGGAAAATACTAAAAACTTTTTTTTTTTCTGTCAACACATAACATATTGTACACTTAACTTTTGTTTTATGAATTATCTTTTCTTCCTCTTTCCAAAAGGAGCTGTATAACATTGAGAGGCAATTATTAAAAAACATGTGTCCTTCACATGAGTAACTGAGTGTAAAGTCAGAAGTGTAAGTAGATTCTCAGGAGAATTAGGGACACAAACTGGTGCCTAGATGTGGTGTTGCCACTTGATTTGAAGATTTCTGTGCTGTTTGCAGTCCCCTCCTTTGCTAGCACACTTCTTTTTTCCCCTAAAGGAAGTGACACATTTGTAGCTGTGGTGTTTGTACTGTACCTACTGCATGAGCTTCCTCAATGTAGATGATAATGAAATCTGCTATTGAGCTGAAATCTTTGATGAGCTGGTTGAACTCATCAAATTTTAGCATAAATGAAGGTCAGGTGCAGCTTCCAAAGTTCAGGATTAAAGGTCGGTTATCTGGGGGAAAAAAAAGTTTTGTGGTTAAGTGACAGGAGGAAGGGCAGAATTAAATCCACTGAACTGAGCCTCTGGTGCAAGGATTCCTGGACAGCACTAAGTCACTTCATAAATTTCTCCTAGGTCAGTAAAATCAGCAGCAGAACCTCTTTATCTCTGCAAGGCAGCCATAAAGGTGTTTTTCCTAGCCTGGCCCTGTCTGTGCTGCATCCAGCAAGGAGTTTACCTGAGGGAAGCCTGCCCAGTACAGGCAGGAGGCACCCTGCAGTCACACAGTTTCTCTTTGCCTCAGCACAAGAGCCAATTAGCAAGCTACCAACATTTTTGGGATAGGGTGCTGATCCAAAATGGGCATCACATCCTCCCTGAGATCCTTAGTATGGAGCAACTTCATAAATACTGAACATGGCCTTCTGCAAGGTTATCCAGGGACAGTGGTTCAGGGCTGGGCATTGAGGACAGAGTCCCAGTGCCTTTTCATGTCCAGATTTTTTTAGATGTGTCAGTTCAAGTTGAGGGGAAACTGCAGACTTTTCAGTCATGCATCACAGGCTTTCATGCTTTCAATGTATTTCTGCAATTTCCTGTCCAAACAGAACTCTGGTTATATATTATTATTAAACTAACCTTACACTGGCAAAAGTATCTGCAGTTGCTTACAAATTAACACAGTATTGTGTTTATGTTGGCATCTGTTTGCAAGGCCTTGATTTAAGAGAGCTTGCAGGATTTTTAAGCACCTCTTTTAGTCTGGTTATGCTGAATTCCATTAAATTTGTCCAAGACCTTTCTGGCATGGCTTAACTTAAAAGCTGCTACTAACCATAGATCCACATCCTAAAGAATTAAATAACAGTGGTACCTTCCTGTAGATACTGTGTTTCTCTTCTATAAATTTGCAGCCCATTTTCTACATAAATATCTATATATAATTAGGGATGCCGAGTGAGAGAAGGATGTAATCCCTCCCGTGGGGATGGAGGCTGCAGCTTAATGATTAATTCCACGTTCTGCTGAGATCTCAGTGGGAGGCAGCGGACAAAGTACAAAGCAGCTACTTCTGCTTTATTCCCAGCCACTTTAGATCTGGAAAAACCCACTGTGTGCTTTCTAGGCTTTAGGCTAGCTGAGGGAGCTGGTGTGGAATTTTCTGGACAGGGAATGACAGCCAGCACTCACGAATCATTGCACACATTTCAGTTCTGGGCCTTCTCTCCCTAAAACAAATTATTACCTTGGCTTTCAGCAAAAAGTGTTTCCAGGCAGAGCCAGCTCTTGCAAAAGCTCAGTGTTGTGAAGGGATAGCATAGACAGGGTGATAAATGCAGGTTATTTTTGACAATCAAGAAGCAGCTGGAGTAAATGTGCTGCATCTTCTCCAGCAGGTGGGTGCTGGTGGTCTGCACATGATGCACTCCAGTGCCAGCAATCCGTCCCTGCTTCCTCAGCAGCATCTCCTCATTTATGCTCTCAGCAATTACTGAAATTACCAACTCAATTACTGACCTTTCATGAAATCCAGGAGGTGACGATCTTCTCCACCAAGGGTCACAACGGGTGTGTTGGGAGCAGGGTGTCCCTCGTAGGCTTCATCCTCCAGCCTCTTCCACTTCACCTTCAGCACAAACTGCAAATACTTGAAGCTGAAAAAAGTGGGGCCCCAGTTTTCGTAGCTGAACCTTGGATTCCTGTTCATTCTGCTCTTTTCGCCCATCTTTAGGATGTATCTTTTCATGGCATTGGGGAACAGTATCATCAGTGTTTTGCCCACCACAACAGACAGAGTAACCTGCAGGAGGATCAGGATTTTCTGTAGCAGTACCCTGATGCCCGGCATGATGGTGGAGAGGTCTGCTGAGCACAATGCAAGGCAGGGGCAAAGGTAGAGGGTGAGGGGGAGGGAAAACATCCACGTGTTTGATTGAGTTTCTGCCTTACCTTGCACACTGTGCTGTCCCTGCCCTTCAGCCCCTGGGTGAGCAAGGATCCTGTCAGCAGTGCTCCCTCCAGCTGCACCAAGGGCATCCAGTGCAGCCAGGGTGGGGCTGTGCTGCTCACTGCAGGGATATGAGGCTTACCCACAGATGTGGGCTGTGCTGTGCAAATAAGGAAAGCTGTATCAGGCTGTTCTCCCTGAATCCCACAATATAGACTAAGGTGCTGATGCTTGAGGCCTTGGGGTGATGCAGATGCTGTGCAAACAGTGCCCTGTTCCTTCTGCTCTGGGGCTCTGCTGCGCTCCAGGGTTTGGCATTTTGGGGCTGAATGATTAAAAAAAACCTAAAAAAAAGTACATATATTTTTATATATATTTATATATAATTTTATATATTTATATATATTTATATTTATATATATGCTCCAGTATATATAATATCCAGCTGGTCCCCAGCACAGGAAGGACATGGATCTGTTGGAGCGAGGCCTCAGGAGGACACCAAGATCAGAGATCAGAAGGATGCTGTGAGAGTTGGGACTGTTCGGCCTGGAGAAGAGAAGGCTTTGTGGTGACCTAACTGTGCCCTTCCAGCACAAGACAGATGGAGAGAGGCCATTGACAAGGGCGGCAGTGAGGGGCCAAGGGGGAATTGCTGCAAACCATCAGAGGGCAGGTTTACATTAGGTACGCAGAAGAAATTCTCTCCTGTGAGGGTAGCGAGGCCTTGGCACAGGGTGCCCAGAGAAGCTGTGGAGCCCCTGGATCCCTGGGAGCGTCCCAGGCCAGGCTGGACGGGGCTGGGACCAACGCGTTCTGGTGGGAGGTGTCCGTGCCATGGCAAGGATATTAAATGAGATGAGTTTAAATGTCCCTTCCAACCCGAACCGTTCTGTGTTTCTCTGGTAAAACTCTCATTTACCAGAACACGCAGTGTACGTCTGTAACAGCTGTACAAGCGCACCCACAGCCCCGCTATGTTCCCTCACAGACAGCAGGGTCCTTTAAGGGGGCAGGCGGGCGCGCACGCGGAAGCGCCGCGCGGGCTCTGATTGGTCGGTGCCAGGCGCGTCACCGGCGGGGCTGCTGCTCCCCGAGGGGCGGGGGCAGAGGGGCTCAGCGGCGCCGCTGATTGGCCGGGGCCGCGCGGCGGTGGCGGCGCCTTTAAGGGAGCGGAGCGGCGGCTGTGGCGGTGCCGAGGTGTGCGGGGTGCCCGGCCCGGGGCCCGGGCGGGTGCGGGGCTCGGGGGGTGCGGCCGCGGGGCACAGCAGCGCTGGCACAGGGCGGGGACCGCACCCGCCCCAGCCCCAGCGCTGCCCTGTCCTCTTGCAGGAGGGTCGAGCCCCGAGGAGCTGATCCTCGTCCCGGCGGATGAATGGCGACGGCGGACGACCTCAAATTCCAAGGTAAAGGCGATGTGGCAGGTGCGGACGCGGGGCTGGGCCCGGCTGGGGGAGCCGTCCGGCGCTGGAGGCTCTGGGAGCGTCCCTGAGCGTTCGCGGAATAAAAATGTCCTGGGAGTGTTGTTTGTGCGGTCAGGATGGGGTCAGGGATCCTGAGTTTTCTGAGATGGAATTGTGCTGCTGGCCAGATAAAAAATGTAACCGGTGTTGACGGAAGTCATGGACTGAAATCCTTTGTGGTAGCAAGTGACAGCTGGAGAGGGGCAGAGCGCTCTGTAACTTGCAGAAGGCCCCGGTTTCAGACTTACTTAATTCTTCATAAAAAACTTGATGTCAGTTTTTGGAGAATATTAAAAGTACCCGTTTCTCTAGGAGGCAGCTTTCCCTTGCCCTGCAGAGACCTGCTGGCCCTAGGCTGGGGCTATTGTCAGGGCAGGAAGGCAGGCTCCACTCCTGCCCGTGTCACATCCTGCAGGCACGTCGGCAGGAAAAGCAGACTCACACTTTATCCACTGACTGAATGTTCAGCTTGACTCGTGTCAGTTTGGACTTTAGAAAACAGATCATACCCAACATGCCTAAACTAGTGGTTAGTCTGTCTCGGTATTTATGTGTTTATTTGAGCTATGAGAACAAAAATTTTAGTGTCTTGATCATCACCTGTCTTGTAATGTATTTATTTGCAGAGTTTGACGATGCAGCTAATTTGCTTGCAGCAAATCCTGATGCCACCACCATAAGCATCGATGAGCCAGCTGAAATCCCCAAGAATCAGCACAGCCACCTGCAGGAGCCAGGGAGGGAAGAGGATGATGAGTTACTGGGCACTGATGACTCCGATAAAACAGAGGTAATGCTCTCACCACTGTGGTGGAGGCCTGTGAGAAAGATGGAGAGAGAATTCTTACAAGAGTATGTAGAGAACAGGACAAGGGGGAATGGATTCAGACTAAAAGAGAAGAGGTTTAGATTGGTTATAGGAAGAAATTCTCTCCTGTGAGGGTGGTGCTAGCACAGGTTGCTCAGAGAAGCTGTGGCTGCACCATCCCTGGAAGTGTTCAAGGTCAGTCTTGGAGCAACCTGGGATAGTGGAAAGTGTCCCTGCCCATGGCAGGGGGATGCAGTGAGATGATCTTTAAGGTCCCTTCAGTCACAGGCCATTCTGTGTTTCTGACAGCAGAAGGAACTTGTCGTGGTGGTGAGGGTGTGTGTTCCAGATGATGTGGCAGCAGGCAGTAGCAGGCTGCTCTTTACAACCTCAGGCCGTGGTTCTGCCTGCAGGGAGATAAGAGACTGGCTGTCTGCAGCTGTTGGAGGGGAAGAAGGAAACCATTACATAATCCTGCCCTGTTATGTTTGTTTTCAGTTTGGGTACCAAAATCATGTGACTACTGTGTAAATGAGTTAGTAATGCATAAATTGTGTGCTTGTAACACTTTCCATGTTGCCTTTCCCACCATCTAGCTGCTTGCAGGACAGAAGAAAAGTGCCCCTTTCTGGACTTTTGAGTACTACCAGACCTTCTTCGATGTGGACACATACCAGGTTAATACTCTGCTCCAGAGGAGAACTGTTGTCTGAATTATGCCTTATCCAATGAGGTGTTTTTCCTTCTTGCACTGTCAGTCAGACAAATCCTTATGTTTCTTAGGTCCTGGACAGAATCAAAGGGTCGGTGTTCCCAGTCCCTGGGAAGAACTTTGTAAGGCTGTATATCCGCAGCAATCCTGACCTTTATGGTAGGTGTCAGGTGGGAGAAGTTACTTGCTGTGCTAAATATTTTGAGTCTGTATTACATTTTACTTGCTGGCCTAGAAAGAAAGACAGCAGAGGAGGTGCTATTGATTTTTTTTTTTTTCCTTTTAAGGTCCATTTTGGATATGTGCTACACTCGTGTTCACCATTGCTGTTAGCGGCAACCTCTCAAATTTCTTCATCCATCTGGGCAAACCAACGTATCACTACGTGCCTGAGTTCAGAAAAGGTTTGTAAGTAGTCATTTGTGGGGGTTTTTTGTTTTGTTTGGTTTGGGTTTTTTTGGGTTTTTTGTTTTGTTTTGTTTTGGTTTGGTTTTTTTGGGTGTGTATCTTCTTTTTAATGTGCAAATGAAGTAATATCAAACCAGATCATGGCTTTGATGTAGTACTTTAGTCTTTTGATTGATTTCTGTCTTTAAATTTTTAGACATGTGCAACAAGCCCTTAAAATGGGCTGTGACTGGCAGAACCCTGTTTCTTCAGAACATAAGCTAGTTTCAGGGATTTAGAAGAGCAAGCAGGAGTAATTAGTTATTTTCCAGCCTTAGTGGATGCCTCCTTGTACAGAGAGTGAAAGGCCAGCACTGGGCACTCTGGTGCTTTAGTGAGGGCCTTCCTGGACCTGTGGCCTCCCAGGAACCTGCAGGCCTAGGGCAGAAAATTACCAGATCAGATTATCACTGATATCACCTACTTGAAGTGCTGACAGAGTACTGGGTGTAAACTAGATATAAATGCAAAGTTTTCAGTTTATTAATAATTCAAACTTCATCTTTTGGAAGCATCTTCACAGGTAGCTTTCTCGTTTTCATGCTGAATGCTTCTACACCTTTGATTCTGGCAGGATTCAAAGTAGAACATGAAACCCTTTGTTGTGTTTCCAGTGTCCATAGCAGCTACAACGATTTATGCGTACGCTTGGCTTGTTCCCCTTGCTCTCTGGGGATTCCTGATGTGGAGGAACAGTAAAGTCATGAACATTGTCTCCTACTCCTTCCTGGAGATAGTGTGTGTGTATGGCTACTCCCTCTTCGTTTACATTCCCACAGCGGTACGTATGGCTAAGAGTGCCCCTCTCACATGTCCTGCCTGACAAAGTTTGCTGTTTCTTATAATATTGTTGATATTTGTCGAAATTTTGGAGACTGGGAAAATCTTTTGCTCTTTTTCTTGAGGCTTGTCTAGTGTAAAGGTGTCTTGTGGGTGCTGAAAAAGCCCAGGACACGTAATTTCCCCAGAGGCAGCCAAACCAAGCAAGGTGCTGCTGGTGAGCCTGGCAGGCAGCCTCGGGAATCAGGATTTGTGTCCCCAGGGAACAGATGCTGATGGCTCCAAGGACAAGTTTCCCTGGCTGGGGACAGTGTGATGGTGTTCACAGGGGTTCTTGGATGAGGGAAGAGATGAGGATCTGACTCCATGTTTCAGAAGGCCTGATTTATTATTTTATGATATATATTACATTAAAACTATACTAAAAGAGTAGAAGAAAGGATTTCATCAGAAGCCTAGCTAAGAATAGAATAGCAAAGAATGATAACAAAGGTTTGTGGCTCGGGCTCTGTGTCCGAGCCAGCTGACTGTGATTGGCCATTAATTAGAAACATTTAACATGGGCCAATCACAGATGCACTTGTTGCATTCCACAGCAGCAGATAATCATTGTTTACATTTTGTTCCTGAGGCCTCTCAGCTTCTCAGGAGGAAAAATCCTAAGGAAAGGATTTTCCATAAAAGATGTCTGCAACAGGACAGGCCTTGAAGGGAGTGGCATAACTTGAGATTCACCTGTGTTGTGTCTGGGAGTAAAGCTCAGCACTGCTCTTACCCTTTCCCCCAGTAAGAGATGTGTCAGATTTAGGCGCGAGTTCATTTGTGCACAAACAGAAGTGCTGACAGTGTCACAGAACACACAGCCTCTTGCAAGCCTTGTGCTGCCTTTTGCAGATCTTGTGGATCATCCCCCAGAAGGTGGTGCGCTGGGTGCTGATGGTGTTCTCGCTGTGCCTCTCGGGCTCCGTGCTGGTGATGACCTTCTGGCCCGCCGTCCGCGACGACAACCGCCGCGTCGCCGTGGCCACCGTGGCCAGCATCCTGCTGCTGCACGCCCTGCTGGCTGTTGGATGCTTGGTGGGACACTGCCAGTCCTTTTCCCTGATC